AACGTATTTATTTCACAAAATTGAAAATATCAATTTCTGGCCTATTCTCACCACAAAATGAACGTAACTGTCCTGAAGTGGTATGCTGTCAAGCTCCTCTTTCACTTATTGAAATATTCGTGGCTGTCCTTACGCTCTTTGGTACCAAAACCTAAACTGAAGGTGCTTTGTAAGAGCAAGTGAAAGTTATATGATCCTCATGGATCTTCACGCAAAACTAAAAATTCGAAAATGGAAAATGTTGTGCTACAAGAACATGAGAGCATATGAATGCGTCGTAACAGTTTAGAGTATTTATAACTAGGCAGCACAATTTGATATACTTTATGCACGCTAATGCCAACTAATTTCTTTACTCGAGACGAAAAATACATTTGTTTTTCATGCTAGCACAAAGGTATTCTGGACGCTTACGGCGCCAAAGTCCAAGGCGAGCGCCAACAAATGTTTTTCTTGTCTCATAAGCCAAACGAATGTGACAAGAATAAGATACATGTGCTAAAGTGATGCTGTTGAGTATGGCACTTTAAGGACAGTTCTTGTGATTCAAAACAGTGGTTCGTTGGGACACAACACATGTTTTTACGATTCGGTCCTCGCACGGCCCCAAAACCGGGGCCAAATCAGGGTGGACTTTTGCCTGAGGGCATTTTCCTCATACAGCGCCAATAAGCCCAGTTGAGCGCCCAAAAGTACACCGCCGGCGCCAATGCCATTCCGCCTATGGCATGGAGTCCGCCGAATTGGTGTGTACTTCCCCTGGGTGCATAAAATATGACAGAGATTAAGGATGTTGGCGAGGAGGTGGTGAGCGAATTTGGATCGGTAACTGATTGTACAGCGCCCTGTGATTAAAGTTGCATAGTTGTGTTGTTAGCCGTAACGCTAGAAAAATAAAATTATAGATGAATAAACTGAAGTGTCATCTGGTAACCGACAATTTATATCGCAATGTATACTGCAAATTACTATGGCGTCCAATGTGGTCGGTAGCGGTGGAATCTTTGGTGTAAATAAAATGACAACGTAATAAACCGTTAGTTGGTCAAACGTTTGGTAAACAAAAGATGCTGTCACACTGCGTTTCAGATCATCAAAAAGAAAAAAAATCGTCGGTTAATAAACCGTCATGGTGTCACTATTGAAGTAGGCGGCGTGGAAGAACGCAGCAGAACAAAATTAAGAGTTCTAGAATAAAACGCAGTGCGAGATGCGATGGTGAGAGCTTTCTGGCGTCCCACTGGCCCTATGTAGTTATGCAGAATGCAAGGCAGGATCCTGCATGGATATAAATGATAGATGATTGAGATTTCGTTGTACCTTTGTTACATATCGTACTCCGTGGTCCATCCGTTGGAGAGTTGGCGGCATGACATGTGCATACACCTCAAGCGCCGAAGTTGGAAAAGCGCACACTGTGCAATTCGTAAAAACATGTTTTGAAGGGAGGGAAGACGGATGTTGAAGATCGTGTTGACCTCATCCCGCATATACCACGGAGCCGTAATTAATGATGGAAAGAAATAAAGACTCATGTAGTAGTACTAAACTGTGGCGGTCGGCACCTCACCATGACCCGGATATGCAGCGGAAGAAATTCGGTCTTTAGTCCGTTGGAGCGAACATGTTACCTGCGCTTTCTCATTGACAATCTCAGGTTAGGTACGACACCGAGAAATTTGAAAGATGAAACGAAAGGAATGTAGTGTTCTCCAGATGAAGCCGAACATTGGGACCACCACACATGTATTTACTAAAGACCATGACGCCGGATGTTAAATCGAAGGAACAGAACCCGTAACGTTTTGACTACTGCTGCACCTTGTTTAGGGCAGCTTGGAGTCGTGGCAGCCTGTGGTCATATTCAGGCATCCGAGCCCAATTCCGCTATCATCAGCAAAAAGTGATGAAAAAATACCCAGTGGTAATGTGTCCAATAGATCGTTTGTCCTGAAATTAAAGATAATCGGTGAGATGCGGCTCCTTTACGGGCATTCCTTATAATTTGCCTTGCTCGAGCACATTTATAACTTCTGGCAAGAAGATGAGGCTCATCATGATAGCATCGAAGAAGCACAATGCACGTTTCCGACGTGCAACAACATTTTTTACGTCGATAGTCCACCACGGTACTTGGATTCGCGGGCGAGCAGGGCGAGCGGTGCCTGCTCGCCCTGCTCGAATCCCCCACCCCGTGCCTGCTCATCAGAGCGAGCAGGGCGAGCAGGGCGAGCAGTGACTGCTCGCCCTGCTCGCATCCCCCACCCCGTGCCTGTTCATCAGAGCGAGCAGGCACCGGGGTGGCCTAAGTCGAGCGAGGGTTGGAACCAGGGGAGTTGGATGGAGATCGGTGCTCTCCAGACACCGTGGCGGAAGTGTGCGAACCAATGGAATGAGCCTAGGGCGTTTGGGAGTCATTTGGTGAGCGGGCAGCCAAAGCGGGGTTAGCGGCACTTCCGTCGTCGTCATCCAGGACAGTATCAATGTCGGATGCCGAGCTCGAATTTGTGTAAATGTCGTTTTTCTTGCGTCTACCACGCTCCCCTATAGTGAGGAGCGGGAAGAGACGAACTAAAACTAAGTGAAAAGTGAAAAGGTATGTGTTTACGAGGTTATGACACCGAATGGTTATTAAGTTACTTGGATAATAGCCATTTCGACCAGAAATGATCATTTCAGGGCTATGGAATGAAGTGAAATGGATAACAGTAGAACAGAACTACATGCGCCTGGGGGACCAGCCGTCGAGCCTTGGGCCGCGCAGAAACCCCTGCGCGGGACCCCCGGTCGGGGTCCCCCCTATAGGGGGCTGTGGCTGCCGCACGCAGCCTGCCCCGGACATGCGGACGTAGCGAGGATGTAGGATGAAACAAGAAAGAGGATAAGACGGTCGGATCGGCACCGAATGGGTCGATGTGTCTCCTGCTGAACACCCTGGATTTGTCATGACATATTAGCTGATAGCGGTGACCATCTGTCTAGGTCTGGTTGTTACACTGGCATCAGAGGACAACAGCCGTTAGCGAAGAGTGAGATTAGCAGCCGCTGATTGGTAGGTTGAGCACCCATGAGATTGCCCGACACAAACACGGGGCATATGAGCTATAAACACACGCACAGTGCTCACATAACACATGGCGTCTACCACGCTCAACCGCACTCCTCGGCGCCACCTATCGGCGATCCGGTCGTTGGAGGGAATGCCCCACCTTTGCGGAAATATTTCAAAAACGAACGCAATGGAACGTCAGGACCAGTTACCTCCAACAGTTGCACCGTGTAGTGCCGCTGCAACACCGTCGGGGCGTAATAACGATATCAATTTTCATTATTTTCGAATCCGAATTGGGCTGTCCCTTCGCAGTGCCCAAGCGTTTTGTAACAGCACCACACTTCTCTGCAGTCACGATGGCCGCCGTCATCACTGCATCCGTGGCACCTCAACTGGTGCAAATAAAAGTGTGTTCGTCACTGGCCAAGCGGGCGGCAAGGGCCTGTCCCCGAGAAGTGCGTTGGTTGAGTTGCAACTAGTGCTTCACTTTGGACCATGTGATACTTTTATTTCCGAAGCCAAAGTGAGCGTCGAAAAAACGGCACTGTGGTAAATATTATAGGGAAAAATAATAGCCATATTGGAAGGCTTCGTTGAATTCACGGGACTGTAGCTTTGTGCTTGCATATTTGTTGTCTAAACAGCCTGCTTCAAGCTTTCGTGTCATTATTACACAAACGTTTTGAAAATTGCTGCAATGATTTTGAACACACGTGGAAAGAACAAGGCAAATGAAATGCATTACTTTCATTGTCGTGAGTAGGGAGTCCTTTGAGACTTTTCCAGCAGCACCGGCTTCGTCAAGTAAAATTTTGGGCTTTTCAGAGGGATTTCGAGAAAACTGACATTACTGATCAAATCGAACGCGTCTGATCTAACAATAGGAAGTCCAAAAAGGTGGCATACTCTCTTAAGGGCGCTGACTTCGCACCGCTATAACGACATTCAAAATGGCCAGAGAACCGTCTGCAGTACGGATCAGCAGCATAGAAAATTCCCAATTTGCATAAGAGGCAATATTCCTCAGAAAGCGATGACAGAATTTTCCAATGAACGCGCAAGCGATCCATCAAAGGAAGCCAGATTTGCTAGCCTGCACCTGTGACGGCGTGGAGCCTAGTGTTAAGCGGAAGCTCGACTGCTTGATCAGCGAAGGTTTATTTGGCGCTTGTCAGACGGAAATCTGTTGAAAAAAGAATATGTTTGCTAGTGGCGTGTTTCACTAAATCGCATAAGTAAATATCACAGCCGTCGCTTGCTTACAGTGGTCGCAATGCTCTTGGCGACGAAGGGTTATAGAAGATAAATGACGTTCCCCTAAGACATATAACTGACACATTCGAACTCAAGAAAACCCAATTATATTGATGAAAGTAAAACAGTTAGTGTCTCTCGCCCACCAAAATATCCCCGCTACTCCCATTAATTGTAAAACACCCATCATTCCGTTGCGAGTGGTGGGGGGAGAACTGGGGCAACTATTGCCTTCCATTGGAAACCAGAAGATCAGACAGTTTTACGGCATGATGCATGAGCCGACATAATAGTTTAAGGGTGGAGTATCTGTACGGGCTATCATCCTCGCCTACTATCTTAAAACTATGCCGTGTTGATACTAATCAACTGTTGAGGATAATGGTCGAAACACATTTCATTCGGAATACCAAATCTATGGTTATCTGTGGAAAGAAACCAAACGAATTATTGGAAGCCACTCCGCAAAAAAACAGATGATGTTGGCCTGTTTCTTTCATTTATCCAGTGATACACATCAACCGCGCCAAAATCCTCCGCAGCATCAAGGCACTAACTGGATCGATACCCTCGGTTCTCGATTTTGCCGACAGATGTCACCACCATGCAGACACGTTGCTGTTCCATGAAGGTCACCCAAACACAGCAAACAGGTGGCACATCGCCAGGCATCCGGCTGTGCTTACAGTGTTGCGTGACCCACAAGTGCCGCGTGACACGTGAGCGACGTCCGTAGTGCCAACGGTGTGTGACGAAGTGCCGGGGGTAGCGACGACCACCGGTTTCCCACTGGCAGGACGCGACCCGTGCCCGTACCCCGCCCGGCACTCCCGTGCAGTGAAAGTGGATGGCAGCCCAGTCAGCTGTTGATACGTGACGTCACACCGTCGAGGCGGCGTGGACGCGACGCTGGCGTGGATGGTTGGAACGGCGCTGGGGGCGACGGAGAGTCTGCTGTCCAGCACACCATCTTCAATCACTTACGCTTATAGCTCAGAAGACTGCCACGGGTCTGTTGACATCCGCGGACACCAGAAACATGCCGTTTCTCCTCGCCGTTTATCGCAAGCAACCGACAACGGCACACAACGCTAAGTGCAGCCGTGTCCCCTACCATCTTCTCAAGGACGTTGGAGCCTCGGCGGACGTCTGAACCGTGCGGAACGCACCGTCGAAGGGCGCGCCATCCGAGATGTCGCGCTATCGACTGCTGCAGCCCTCCGGCGAGCCGGCCAGCTCCGACAGCGAGGATGAGCTGTGGCAGCCGGGTAAGGCGGGATGACGTGCTGGGGCCACCGAGCAAGACCAGCGGGACAAACTCAGGGAGCGGGGCGGGGAGAGTCGACGGGCTCGAGGAGCTGTTGAAGGCAAGAGAGCAGGAAGCTGGATAAAGTCAGGGGGCGAACTCGGGAGCGGGAGGACGAGTTCAAGAAGCCGTTAAAGGCAGGTGACGAACTCGGGGAGCCGGGATAGGCGTGAGGAAGGCTCTGAGAGTCGGTTATGGCGGCTGGACGGGCTTTGAGGGCTGGTTATGGCGGCAGGACGGGCTTCGAGAGCTGAGTTAAACGACAGGACGAGCTCCGGGAGGCGGGTTAGGCGGGGGCCGCGCTCTGAGAGTCGGGCATGGATACAGGACGGGCTCTGGGAGCCGGCTAGGGAGAGGGACAGGCTTTGGGACCTGGATGTGGTGCAGGACGGGCTCTGGGAGCCGGCTAGCGAGAGAGGCAGGCTTTGGGACCTGGATGTGGTGCAGGACGGGCTCTGGGAGCCGGCTAGCGAGAGGGACAGGCTTTGGGACCTGGATGTGGTGCAGGACGGGCTCTGGGAGCCGGCTAGCGAGAGGGACAGGCTTTGGGACCTGGATGTGGTGCAGGACGGGCTCTGGGAGCCGGCTGGGGAGAGAGGCAGGCTTTGGGACCTGGATGTGGTGCAGGACGGGCTCTGGGAGCCGGCTAGGAGAGAGGACAGGCTTTGGGACCTGGATGTGGTGCAGGACGGGCTCTGGGAGCCGGCTAGGGAGAGGGACAGGCTTTGGGACCTGGATGTGGTGCAGGACGGGCTCTGGGAGCCGGCTAGGGAGAGGGACAGGCTTTGGGACCTGGATGTGGTGCAGGACGGGCTCTGGGAGCCGGCTAGGGAGAGAGGCAGGCTTTGGGACCTGGATGTGGTGCAGGACGGGCTCTGGGAGCCGGCTAGGGAGAGAGGCAGGCTTTGGGACCTGGATGTGGTGCAGGACGGGCTCTGGGAGCCGGCTAGGGAGAGGGACAGGCTTTGGGACCTGGATGTGGTGCAGGACGGGCTCTGGGAGCCGGCTAGCGAGAGAGGCAGGCTTTGGGACCTGGATGTGGTGCAGGACGGGCTCTGGGAGCCGGCTAGGGAGAGGGACAGGCTTTGGGACCTGGATGTGGTGCAGGACGGGCTCTGGGAGCCGGCTAGGGAGAGAGGCAGGCTTTGGGACCTGGATGTGGTGCAGGACGGGCTCTGGGACTGGGCATGGCGACAGGACGGGCGGAGGTAAAAAACTTACGCCTGCCTCTCACAAATTGAAAATGGTCCGATCGGTCTGCTTAGCGCTCGCCCCTGATTCGTCGTTTTTCATGACGCAAATGGATAGAGGGGGGGGGGGGGGGTGATGCCACCCCTGCCTCCTGGTGTTTCCACAGTAATGAAGACACAGCTGAGCGGAAACACCGGTGGATTGGGCTTAACGAGATCTCGGGATTGGTACTACTTAGCCCCTGCATTGCTGCATTCTGGGTGGCAATGCTGTGACATCATCATTTTACTAAGTCATAAGGCACCAACGCTATGGCGGCGTGAAAACGCTGTTCTTTGTGGGCTGATGTAGATGTAAATATGTCGTAAAGCCGAATCGTTTTCAACCTAGCACGTTCAATGAAACATTTTCAGCTGTGAAATGGCGTTGGTTTGCAACAGAGCCACAAAACTATTGCTGAAATTCGCCTCCAGCTTGCCCCCACCAGACAGATAGGGGTGCCCATTCACCAGTGATTTATCCCGATGAACTCTAGCCGGATGTGCTTACAAACAGTGTTTAAAAGAGTACAACATGCAACAACAACAACATATCATGGAAATGAGATGCGGCAAGCCAGACGGATTCGCAGCACCCTGAAACGCGCTTTGAGAAGTTGTAATGCACATCCCGTAGCCTTAGTGGGAGCGTTGTCAGGGTGGATGCAGGGATGGCCTGCCCTTATGGGGTTAGTGAGTAGTGAACCCCGGGGGCTTAAATACAGCGTGTGCCATTTCAGTTCAAGATGGCATAATTTTCCTGCAGAATGGGCAGATTTCTGGTGAGTTTTGCAATCTCTGCCAGTCAAAGAGTCGAGGCCCATATCTCAGTTCCGAAATAGTCTAATAGGAATACGTTAGGGTGTAGGGGGTATTATTCTCTGCGCGCCATTTTTATCTAACCCATCCAACATTATAGATCTGCAAGTTAACCAACTCTCAGGAAGATCATAGCACAGCAACAGCGAAATTCTTGGCACCTGCCTTCCTCACATTACCTTATTTTCACATTTCACTCCATATAGGTACTGCAGGGCAAAAAAATATGCGCAATAATTGCCCATTAATTCATTCAATATGAATATTACGCACGATATTTATTTATTTACCTTTAAATCATCCTTTTTCAAAAGCGCTTTACATACAGATATTCACGCGGGTTGGTCTCGACGAATATAGCGCGGGTGCTGCAACTGGAAAACTTGGTTAAGTAGGATTTATTTTTGCGATCAGGTCTTAATATTGATTTGCATGTAGAAGGGGTAGAATGCAAAATTGTTGTATCGATTCATATAGCATTAAGATAAAGGTGCAGAACAGAGGTGCTATCCAGTTCAGTGGCGAAATCAGCCTTTTTAATCATATGACTAGTATCTACCAACCTTTTCGTAGCGTCATGCCAACAACCAACTGCGGGATATCAAACTTTAGTCCCATGGTGATGTCACGTCTGCGTAGTCTTCTCTAGCAGCCTCGGGTACTACCTTTTATGTTGTTTGTTTAATAATTCACCCCATTATGGCAGGTTAAAGGCCGAACTTCCCAGAAAATCGCACTTTTCAGGATGACTTACCTACGAGACAATGCCCTGTGGAGACACAAAAGTTGAACAGGCGTTTTTTTTTTGTTTGTTTCATTCTACCTAATGCAAATGGTTTTCCAGCAACTCATTAATCTACAAGCTGTCGCAAATATGTGAGCATGATGTTAAGCCTGAAGACACCTTGAATCTTGCACTAAATGGGATCGGTCTTATCCCCAATTTAGGGTTTTGTTTTACCTGGCATGCTAAGCTAAGCTTACCATGCATTCCTTTCGTGCATTTTATCTACCAATATGATTTATCACAAGACTGAGATGACTGAATGAATCCAGAAAATTTTTCTTAAGATTAAACTAAAAAATACTCCGGAATTAATATCCTTAGCTCACTTTTCAGGACATTTCTCAACAGCATTTTCAAATATGTGAAATTCACTGGACTTCAAACTTTTTGCCTTCATATGCTGAGTGTATCCAAAAAGTTATAACAACCATTCCCACAGGGCAATTTTGCTCAAGTGCTGTTCCATTACCATATTGTCAAAGCTGACCAATTTCCAGTGTCTTTTTAAAAAATTAAGCGAATGAGCTTGCAATGATGATGGCCCCATACTGGGGTCTGACGCTAAAATTCTACTATAAAGTGTAAGTTGCAGTGAACTGAACGCCTTAGCACATTAAGGGAACAAATGTCCAGAATGTAGATATTCAGTCCGATGCACCATTCACAGTAATACACACTACACATATTTTTGGGCAGACGTCTATTCACAATTGGGTATGACTTATTTATGGTACCCCGACCAAGGCACGTAGACTTCTATTCACAACTTACACTTTTCAGCCACCGGGTGTTGCATTCAAGTTTGCCTGCATTTACCGGCTCATCACAACCGCTCTCGCAAAAGACACACCGCGACACAAACTCAGCTGATTAATAATGCTCAATATTGTTATGGCGCATTTTAGGGCAAACTGCGTCATTCTGACAAGAGCGAAAATATGCACAAAGATCATAATGATGTCGTTAGTTTTTAATTCGACATCACGGCATCATACAGTGTTATTTTTTTCTTTGGTAGTGAAAAACGCATTGAAAATCTTGTAATGAATTGAATTATTTCTTTGTGTACTCCAAGAAACAAAGTCTTTGTTTAGTTTGGCGTTTGCATGATGTCATACAGGGTTCACGTGATGGTTTACGTCTTGAGTGAGCGATCTAATTTTTAACGCTTAGGAGACAGCGCGGTAAGGACGATAAGCACATTGAACACTTAACTAAAAGGATACTTGAAAAAAACTGGGAGACAGTGGTGTGCCACAAATTGCCCAAAAAGCTGCCTCCCCGCACGCCAGTGCTGAAAAAAGGTCTAGGCCACTAAGACACATTTCCTCTGAATGGATTGCCCCACATTTGTATTTGGTTTTGAAATGAAAAAGCAATTTTGATTATTCGGTACAGTTTACAACCATGCCTTTCTTAATACATAAAACGGCGCTTAAACCCTATCATCCCATTAGCTATGCGGTAATCAAGGCCAATAGAAATACAGTTGTCGATTCGTGCATATCTGGCGTTCGTGAGCACGATTTCCAGATATAACGACCGTCAGTTGGCCCCCAATGTTGCGCGAGGCGCGATAACGTCATCAAATAATGATGTATTGAGGAGCACATTAACGAAGTAAAGAAGTTGTGTTGTCTAGAACAGTCTTTTCCACGTAAAAGTATGCCGATAGTTATAACTGAGCCTATTTCATCTTATCTGATGCTTGCTTCAATATCTTCCAACGTGGAACATTGTCTTAAAACGTCGTAATAGTACGCAATTTCATCGCAGTCAGCATATCACGAGAGAATATCTTAAATAGAACTTTGAGTAATGAACGCGTTTCAGCCCCCTTTCGTGAATGGCAGGCGTTAATATGAGTCTCCCGCGCTCGTCGGCGAGTGGGCGCGAGTTTTTCCTCTGAGCACGGGCTCCGCGAGCCGCGTAAAGTGAGGGACGAACTCTGAGAACTGGGTATGGCGACAGGGCAGGCTCTGGATGCTGGGTATGGCGAGGGGACGAACTCGGAGAGCCGGAAAACACGAGGAGATGAATGCCGAGAGCTAGACAAGCCGGGGAGGCTAGCCATGAAGCCGGGAAAGGTAGGCGGACGAACGATGAAAACGGATGAAACGCACGGACGTGCATCGATGGCAAGTTAAGACAGGACAGTGTGTTAAGAGTCGGGTCAGACAACAGGGGCGAGCTGTGGGAGCAGGATGAGGTGGCGGAAGAAGTTTGGAAGCCATGTCAAGTAGGCAAGACGGTATTGGGAGTTTGGCACACTGGTGAACGGGGCAGGCGAGTAGGACCCAGGAAAAGGAGGCATGGCGTGCCTGCAAAATCATGGGGATACACATGTTCAACAGGCGGTTGTGAGGGGTGGAAATTAAGCAACGGTGAGAGTGACGAGTCCTAGCAGTTTGGTGAGAAGGAAGGATGTGTGGTGAGAACTAGGTAAGAAGGTGTCAGCGATATGATGATGGTTAATATTATGGCATGTCTCTTCTACGATACTCTTTGCTTTTTACCGCAGAGATGACGCTCTTCGCAACTGCGCGCAGCTTCGTCAGTTGCCGGTGGGGGGGGGGGGGGGGGAGAGAAGGGGGGAGGCTGCAGAACACTGGCTCCTGTCCATCAGCGCGTGTTTTAACCCTCTTTACTCCAAGCAGCCTGTGTCTGTCTGAAAGTCACGCCTGATGCAAGCAGTGCAGCCAGCTCGTTCATCGGCCATCGAGCAAGTTGTTAAATTACTCTAACAACACTCCTCATTGCATGCGAGGATGGCCCACCGCGTCCCGAGGGGAACTCAAACCTGGGTCTGCTCCAGGCGATCACAAACCTTGGTTTGCTTGGATCGACGACCCACAGTTCCATAGCCTTTGGAGCGTTGCTAGTGCGTTTGTGATTCCCACGCTGGCCGTCACGCCACGTTGGAATTGCATCTTATATAATGCAAGGTATTATATAAGATAAGGACGTACGCAGGTCATGTGGCAGTACTCGCCGGTGAGCCAAACGGCCGAAGCAGATCCACCTCATTTGTGTTTTGCGTGTCCTGCAATTAACGATGCAACTAGCAACCATCTCGTGACATATTTGGATGCCAAATTAGTCAATTACCGGTGCCAAAGCGCATGTGACGTCACCGATGACAGAGAGCGTCCTCCGATCCCCAAGGGAAATTCACATGGCGGCCTTGTTGCTCGAGTAAATATATGACAGTTTCTATTCTTGAGTGAAGTTTCCGGAAGCTTAGGTATTTGCGATTGTGCTGGTATATCATTCAGTTCCTATCATCAGCACCACGTTATTGACGTAAATCGACAACTCGCCTTCTTCCAATGAGATCAAGCATCGAGGTTCGTAAAAAAGCTTTTCTGCCATGCACCATGAATATTATCGGCATAAAAACTGTTTGTTACCTTTCATGCTTCATCTGTCTGGCATTAATCGCCCTGTGCCCACGAAATGTTTGCGAAATATTCGTCTTAAAGGGGGTGTTTCATTTTGTATGAGGATTTGAACTGAAATAGCCATCTTGAAGGTCATTCGGTACAGTTAACAGCCCTGTCCTTATTAGGGCCTAACCCTTCTAGTTTCTGAGCTACACGCCCGCAAAGATGTGCAGGCTTTTTCGGAAAAAACATGCGAAGGTTACCCAGCCACCCATGACGCCATAATAACGTCATTCAAATCCTGCCGGTCCATTAGCGCAGCGGCGATCAAGGCCAAGAAAAGTCGTTCATATCTGGCGTTGGCGAGCACGATTTCCAGATATAGCGTCCGTCGATTGCTCTCAGTGTTGTGCGAGATATAGTGACGTTATAAGACAACGACATATTGAAAAACATATTTATTAAGCAGAGAAATAGTGTTATCTAGAACAGCCTTTTCCACTTAAAAGCATACCAGAAGTCATAAGTGAGCTTATTAATATATGGTGCTTGCTTCCATATCTCCAAATGTGAAACATTCTCTTTTGGTGCAACGAATCGGCTAGCAAAAATGGCAATATGCTTCCTCGTCTGTCCGGTGAACGTCTCCAGTTTTGAAGCCACTTCTCCTGCTTGACGTTTACACTATTCGAAAACTGTTTTCACTTCCGTTGATATCCCTTGAGAAACTGTGAGAGAGTGCTCTTTACTGTAATCCGCGCTGGATCACCCTAAGACAAGCCATAATCGTCAGATCAAAGAGTGCTGTCGCCTTGGAAATGTACTGTTCGTGGTCACGTGATACTCACAAATGGTGACATTATGTCCGTTGTTACTTGACAGAGCCCCTCCCTCATTTCAGAGTCGTCCCTGCTGAAAAGGCCGCAGGATGACGACGGCCCTGAAACGGTACGTGGCGGCATTCTATATTACGTCACATCTCCGCCAGCGGGCACTCCCGATGGTTTGGCACCCTCCCAGACCCCATCCACTCCGCGTCGGCCGGCGCGCACCAAACTGGTTTTTCGACCACGCGCTGCGCGCGCACAAGAAAGTGTTGGTCTGCGCGGACCTGCGCCGACTGTCGCAACCCAGCGGCGCGCCGCTCTCTCCGTTTTTCTGCGCTGTCCTACACGCGGAGTGACTATGACGCCGCATGTTTGGCATGAGAAACCGAGCCGTCAACAAAGGGCATGTACGTGGATGCTGTTTTCTGCGGGATGGTGTCGGCTTGGTGGCGCGTCCCATCTAATGACGTGATTGGCGAGACACATCTGTTTTGGGCTGGGTGTTCCTGTATGCGTTTTTCTTGCTGTCGGCAGCGCGGACATGCATGTAAGAACCGCTTCTTTCCATTAATGTGCATCAGTGTGCTAACACACGAACATGCAAGAAATGGACACCGTCTTCTGCTGAGAGATGCACATACGAAGGTACAGGCAAAGCTGCGGGGGAAGCGCTCTGCGGCCTGCTGCATCAGTATCACCGTTATCGTCGTTATCGTCATTGCTGCAGAGGCTCTTATCGTTTAAGCGTGAAGTTAGCAAATCGGACTGGCGTTCTGCAATGCAGCGTGCGAGTGCGTCGAGTCAGGCGCAAATGACGGGCGTGTCCAATTCCCGGCTGGGCATCACGGAGCATTCTGAGGCATGCGGGAGATTTCCGACTCGCAGTGGTGCTCCCGTCATGAAACGTGTGGACTCATTCTTAGGAGTGGTAGAAGTGTATCTTTGCCCCGACCAAATTTCTGCGAAAAAAAAAGTGGCGGTGGCGGCGTAACACGCCACCATATGACATGAAATGACAGTGATATCCGTGCCCAGTAGTGCCATCAGGCATCGGCGTATCACCGAAAGCCTCTTTCATTGCTGCAACTTTCAATATCATGCATACAACCGAGTTGTTTATCTATACAATTGCATTCAATTAATGCTAGGATAAATGCTGTTGCAAGAATGCAGGCACACTGGCCCTAGAGCGTGAGATAGTCCAATCACAAAAGCAGTTTTCTTCCACCATCGGGAACTTGCCGAGGCCTCACCTTTAAGCTTGATCTAGAGCTGTGTTTGCTATCCTCTAGCCGTGGAAAAAAACGGGGAAGGACTTCAACAGCCAGGGCAACTGAGCACAGGACAGAATTCCAACCGGTGGGAGGCAGCACTGGGGGATAACGTTAAGCATACGGGCCCCCTCAAGGCTATGCCCCTTTGCGGAAACCACGTGTGCTCTTCGAGCCCGAGCGCAACCATCACAATAATCTCCACCCTACCTTAAGCATGTTCCAAGCCTGGCACGACTTATGCTGCCTGGTGGGCGCCTTTCGCTGCGGCCCAGCAATCAGTATGCACAGGTTTAAACTGGGTCTCTAGGCTGTCTGGAAAGCGAGGAGCAATATATCGGGTTCCGGCTTGGGCTCAGATTGAGGTGAAGGCGACTACGGAAATGCTGGGCAAAAAGTAGTGAGGGCGTGTTGGAAGAAGGATGAATCAGGATCACGTAAAGATGAAATCACAAAACTATTTGAAAAACCCAGATGTTTCAAATTCTTGTCACGCCGAGCAAAAGCAGAAGAACGAAACAAGACAATCATTTATGGCTGCAGCCCAACTTGAGAAGACTGTTGCATGCTTTGGCGAACCTAAGGCACCAGAAATTCCAGGTTCAAGCTTCAGGATTTTCCGCCGTTTGAACAGCGAAACGACATGTGTTTCCACCGACATGACACAAACCAAGTATTGCTGATCCTAGACGTCTTCATTACCCCTGGCGTACAGAAACTCAGCAGTTCGTTTGTTGATTTGGTCGCGCCAAAAGTGCGAAAGTGTTATTTTTATTAAACCTATGAATATGCCCGTATTTCAACCATGGCGTGAAGATGTTCTTCACTTTCACGCGAATAAAGACGCACATAAACTTGTGTCAGAACATTGGCATGCACAGCCTTTTTGAGCCGCACTTCAATATGCTTTCCGCACGGGAGGTGTCCGAAGGTTTTACTTAAAACGCGATTAGCGGCAGCTCCGTTTTGAAAAGCAAAATTATTCCAAGCCATTCAAAACAGAATTCGATCGTCAATGTTTATTCTTATCCTTTCCAAGGGAGTCCATGGCAAGAGGCCTATCTGACTGCACTGATATTTACTGGCCGATCCAGGACCCGTCTTTCGGCACACTTTCACAGAGGTGGGGACTTTAACAGGGTCACATATAAGATTGAGCAGGTTTTTAAAGCAACTGAGGCGCTCCTTGGTAATCAGGTACCCTTTGAAACATAACTAAGTACTGTGCAGCTAAAAGAATACGAATATCATGAGGGTCATGCGGACATAAAGGTGCCTGAGCTCCTCATAAGGTCATGAGCGTACTCTGAGCCCTGAGAATTCAGAGGTCATCTCAAAGGTCAGAGGGTTCTTCAGTAGCTCGAGGGCGGTCCGTCAATAGCATGACAATCTTTTAGCACTTCTGTTCCCCCCCAAAAAAACAACATGCGTCCAAACGGGCCATTGAGGTAAACGTGCATGCCCTGGCGAGCAATTGGGTCACTGAGCGGCCAGTGGACCATCACCAACCAAACGAACATTTTGATGGCCAGAGGGGCCCCCCAGCGAGCAAGAGTTCCCCTTCGTGACCAAAGGGTCTGGGTGACCAGTTAAGTCCTTGCACTGTCAGAAGGGGACCCCACCCACAAGAAACTCCCCGGTAGCCAGAGATTCCATGTCGCTACCCGGCATGGTTTCGTATGGTGTGTGTGGCTTCGTAATTATAACACGCTAGATTTAGTTGAGAACAATCCATTGTTTTACGTGAGGCCCAACCTTCCTTAGCTTGGAAATAGGAGGGGTATCACCCCCCCCCCCCCATCAGTCCACGTTATAAAAAAACGGCAAATCAGGGTAGGGGCTTACTGTTGGCTGCCGTCTTTTTATTTATTTCACAAGTGCTGTTGAAAAAATCCGCATTTCAACTTACCGAAAAATAAGCTGGCATATCAGAATGCACACTTTTCATTTTCAACATGCATACATTGGTACCCATTGAACCAGCAAGTCAAAATGGTCCTTTGCACGCTAGGTAGCAAACAAATCTAACCAAACCCGTGGTTTTTGTCATGCATGTTGCAGGCATATCAATACAAATGACTGGGGTCTACCCCACCAAAATTTTAATATAGGCCCCCTCAACGTTGACTCCAAATCCCCCCCTACCCGATACTTCTGGCTAGGAGATTAAAGAGAATATTGCACATATATTGAAGCATGTACCAGATATCATGAAACAAGCTCACTTATAACTATTGGGATACTTTTAAGAGAAAAGGCTGATCTAGACAACACAATTTCTCTGTTCAGAAAATATGCTTCTCGATACGTCGTTGTTTGATTGCATTTTCACGTCTTGGACAAAATTGATTATGAGCCAATTCACGGCTGTAGTATCTAGAAAAAGTGGTCGTGAACGACAGATATAAACAACTTGACCATTATATTTGTTAGCCTTGATCGCCGCATGGCTTATGGAATGGCAGGATTTTAATGACGTCATTATGACGTCAGAAATGCAAAGATGACCCTGAATTACCCCCCTCCGAAAGTCTCCCCTCTTTGCGGACGTGTAGCTCAGAAACTAGAGGGGGTTGTGTCTCAAGAAGGCCAGGGCGGTGAACTGCACCGAATGATTTTCAAGATGGCTACTTCAGCTCAAAAACCCCATGAAAAGGTAGAACACCCCCTTTAGAAAATATTAGGAAAACGCTACCCATAACACCAAGTCGATCTTTTCTAGGACTAATTCACTGATCATAACCACATTGCTGCTCGGATGAAGTTTCGTTTCGTAAAAGACAAAACACTTAAGAATAGCAATTATCTGTAATCAAAACAAGGCAGACTAAATCGGTTTACAAACCCATTTAGGGGAGGGAGGTTCCTGGGTTCCATAGCTTTCTACTTCCCCTCCCATGATGTGCGAAAAATTGACACCCCTGACATTACGACGCTACTAGACAAACTGTGCTGTTTTCTTCTTCGAATTTGGGCTGCATGTAAATTAAACTGTCTGCCCTCATAAACTGAATTTTATAGGAATAGTGATTATGTTCCGTAAGAAAAAGCTTCGCTCTGATTTCAGTAAAAACAGTTACGAAATATATCGCATTTGCATCCATGGAAATGACATGTTCACAGATAGAAAGCAAATGTGCGCATAAATAAGCACTGCAAAATGACACATCCAGAGTTTCTCTGTTTCAATCGGGGCGCTATCATCAACAAAGAACCGAAATTGTTCTGAGGGAGACCCAAATGTCAATTTTCTCTGAACTCCTACGACAAGTGTGACCGAAATCCCACAAAACCACCTCCTATTTGACGTAAACCTCTCGGTTAAGGGGGAGATGACAGTGGAACCTTTACCCCTTCCTTATCGCCTACATTTCCTACGCGACCTTAGTGCTCACCACTCATTACCAACCTAATTTTCTATCATGTAAATTTCCAGAGACAATATTAATATTAGGAAGAGTTCGTACGTGGGGTCATTGCTATTCCAATGTCAACTAGATATTAATGAAATGATCGTATTCCGAGCAGAGGCACAGTTTCTAAACATAAGTGTGGGGGCTGACAAGTGAAAAAAATATAATCTTCCGCCCCAAATATGTCTGTGTCCACAGATTTGGCACCCTTCGTCACAAACTGAGGAGGAGGAGGGGGGGGGGGGGGGCATCAGCTCCCAGCGCCCAACCCACCATTCTCTTCAAAGGGAGGATGGCTCGGTGCTTGCGAATGCTACAGTGATTCAGCAGCCATTTCTGTTGTTTTTCTGTGCCTTGAAAATGCAGTCTGGGTAATCACAGGTTCATTTCTACCTTGTATGAATCATCTCACCAAGTTTCCCTGACCTGTCAATGAA